GTCAAAAAATCATTCAAGATTTGTTTTAATCACGTATTATACTCCTTATCTTAGTAGTAATTTTGTTTTATGCAAAATCAGCACATGCCCCGATCGGCCATATTTCCGAGAAATCGCCGATTTCGGTCTTTGTTTTCTTTATATTTAAATTATATTGTTATTATCATTTAAAATTTATTAATAAATCAATTCCAATACATAAAATGAATAAATGATAATAATCAGAAAACACCCTGTTTACTGGGAATAAATGTTAATTGAAAAATTCGTAGTGTCTTGCGTGATGTTTTGGGTATAAAAACATAAAACATCCCTTTAGTATATAGGTCCCTGGTTTTAATAAGAATTAAAGAAACATTAAAGTGAAATTTCTTTATAATTTTTGTAAAATTACCAATCCCTGACAAAATTCACAAAAATTCCGTGGAAGTCGAATTTAAAAGAACGATAACTCTAAAAATTGCAAAATCATAAATTGCGGGTTATTCCCCTTTGATGATGTAAATTATGACGTAACTTCAAGGCCATTCTTGGGGTATTTTTATCACAACATGATAAACACAATCGGTATCATAAAAAAATTTAAAATCTTCATCTTTAAGACAGAAACAAATAAATACACAGAACTCTTAAGTTGAAAGAGAGTTTATTGCCTAAAGTTGTCCGAAGCAAGGTATGTTTCCGATGCATGGTGAACTCACCCTACCCTTTTCCATTGGGTAAACTTTTTCAAACTAGGGAGACCTGCTTCTAGCGTTTGTTTCAGCTTTTCATTTGTGTACTGGTCTTTGATGAAAGTGTCAGAACTCTTTGATTAACATTTACCTGTATTAAGTCCTCATGTTCTCATGGCTTTCAGTTTCAGAGCTTTATTTTGATATCGAGAGCAAAAAGTCGATCTTCCTTGGCGCAAAATTGGCGAGAAAGGAAAACTTTGACCTTAACTGTGACACAATTCCATTTGGGTTCTCAAAGAGAAACTTGCCGCGAATGCTGTCCAAATAATCGGACAAAATTCTCTTTTGATGCTCCTCATTTTAAATGACAATATAACATCACTCTTCTTTTTCCTGACAAGATCTTCCCTTTAATTAATTCTAAGAAACTTGTTACTTTTGTTTGTACTTTGTGTTCAGCAATTTGTTTCATGGCTATCTGGAATTTTTTTTTTTTTTTTTTTTGTTCTCCAGACAGTTTATCTCAGTTTTTTCGATTTAACTCAGACATAAACCTGCACTTTCTAGCTGTAAAAGATTGTATTAGCTTCCTAATAATGAAGTTGTTAAGTGACTGAACTCACTGCGTCTTTTAAATCCTTTGCAATATACATTTTTAAGAGAAGCCTTGTACGGATTATTTTTCGTCTATGGAGTGAGTTTTAATATTGATATATATGTACGAGACAAGTATAGATTTTTTTTTTTTTTTTTTAGAACATGGAGTTGAAAATATTAATATTTTTATTTTTATAACCTCGATCCTTAGCAGCATTACTTTATATTCCTATCCGAATATCATTTCCAAGTGTTCCATTGAGATAGATTATATAACCCACCTTGTTAGCCGCTGGGCCTAATTCAATCGGGTTCGGTATTCTAGATGGCGCTAAAAGTAAAACATCTAGTCCAGCAGCTCCTGCACGAACCAAAGTTTTAACACAGTTTAGACAAGACTACAGGTATTCATTACCTTTGATTTGTCTAATACCTATTATTTTGTAGTAACTTATTCTATCAGTCTAAAGTCGAACTCCTAAAATAGACAAAACGGAGAAAAAAAAAACTATCTTTTAGCTCCATCATTCATTGCGGCATTATCACTATGAATATTAGATCTCATAGCTTTTCGTATTTATTTAATTTTATGTCAGTCCTTCAATAAAGATAGCAATGCCCAAGCAAGGGGGAGATAACTTTCCAGATTTCCTCAGCCTCGTTTTGATTCCGTATCAAAAAAGAGCTTAAAAAGTACGGCTTAATACACTACTTTCCCTCGTGTTTTCAAACGTTTTGATGACCTTTCTATGAAGTTTGAGATGCTCCCTAGCATTACCAACCCTGAATGTTTGAAGTATGGCGCGATTAGTCGTTTTAAAAATAGATTGAAAAATTTAAAAATCTCTAATTTTCATATACGGACGAGTACAGTGTCAAAACATGCAAAAATAACTTCTTCTGATATACCACTACAAATGCATATCACTTACAGGCAAGTATTCAACCGTTCTTGTTCGCCACACGAATTTTCTAGGGCCTACTGGAGCAAATTCGGATTGTAGCAGCCAGCCAACACGTGTGTAGAAAAAATGTATACAACGTGAATTGAACGTCTGATGGTCTGTTTACTTCATTGTCAAGCTGATACAATGTTATATTCTTGTTTTTGAACTATCCTGAAGCATTTTAATAATGAAATTCCGTTCAAAGACTATTTCGTGCGCGAAAACGAAAGTAGGGTTCATCTCAAAGTGAACAAGAATAAATTTCAAGATTGACTTACATTGGTGAAGAAAACAGTGAAAGTCAAATGAAAACTTCATTTATAATTATACTTTGATTTTTATTGCTAAGTTTATTTCTTTAAATGACAACACAGCATACGAATAATGAGACATAAGCTATTCTGTATAAATAAAGAAAACAAAGGAAGACAACTCTTGCATTTCACATTCTGTGTCATATTTTCTTCTATGTCTCAACAGTGGGACGAGAAAATTATGAAATGTTAGATAAAATTAACAAACTGGTACATAGGTTATATTCTAAAATTGTTTTGATCTAGTATTCCTGCATTTATCTGCTTTTAATCTGCTGATGTACACTTTCCAATCATTTTCCTCGGAAAGATGGATAACTCTGTAAGAATTCTGCATTTTTTAAACATTCATTAAAAGCTCAATTTTCACCCGATTTAAGAAATGATTTTTGATATGGAATCAGTGGGTCATACTTTACACAATGGACATAAAAAACTAACAATTTTTTGACTCTTTAAAAATCATTGGGCATTGCTAATAAAGATGACTTCAACTTAGTTCTAGACATACAGATTGTATATTTAACTTTCAACGGAAAATGCAAAGGTCCCCCCATTTTTTTTTATCACAGAGCAGAAACATTTACCTAGCTGCAATAAATAATGTAGCCCTCTCTCCCCCTCCCCCCTTTTTTGGGGGGGTGGGGGAGAAAAATATCAGATAAAAAATAATCGGAGAGGGCTACATTATTGCAGCTAACATTAAACATGTTTAACACAAACAGTAAGGCCAATCTCTCACCATTGTCGCAAACCACGGTCAAAATGTACGATCCTCTCCCATTCTGGCCGTGGTTGAACAAGAAAAGAATTCTTTGTAGCTCATTAAAATATTGACCAATGTGAGTAAAGCATAGTCGGATGATGAACTTCATCACGACCTTTCAATATCCAATTGCAGTATAGGAAATATTTCTTGTATACTGTTGACGTCAATTGTTGATTTCAACTGCGATGGAAACAAAACTTGCCAGTTGCCACTAACTGAATATGACGTCACAACAGAGAGGCGTAAATATTCAAGCTTACGACACTTTTTGTGATCAAGCAGCCACGGGTAGGAGAGAGCGATATATGCGGACTCCGGACCGTGGCTTGAGACGATGATCTGATTCTCTCACCAGGCAGAGGACTTATGACTACATGTATATTCCTTACAACACCTCTGCCAATGTCTTAATACTAAGATTTTTTGCAAAACTTACTTTTACCTATTGCATCATGATTTATAAATGTGAAAGTTCATGTGTTCTTGGCTTTAATCTTTTTGAAATGAAATTTATGAAAATTAGAAACAGATATAGCTTTTCCACCTGGATATCTTACAAGGGATAATTTCTCGGCAAGATATTAAGAATGTGGAAAATATAAAACGCATTGCCAAAAAAATATCAACATAATTTATTTTATCACTGTTTAAAGACAAACAACTTGCAGCATTGGCGGATATAGATAAATGTTAATGTGTAAATCTTCCTGTAAAATTTTAAAAACCATATGTCTCCCTTTTCGAACTACATTTTAGACGTTGACAGGTATTAGTTGAATGTCATGAATGATACATATGAAACTCTTAGAGTCTTTGGGTAGAGATTGCAGTAATATGTACAAGTTTTCAAGATGCATAATAAATGAGCCCCAGGCTGGGCATTTATTGTGTCTTAAATTGGGGAACAAAAATAAAAAAGTAATGTAGACAGTAACAATTACTGGGGTAAGTACATGTAAATTCATATGTCTCTGTTCACATTGTTCATGATAAAAATTATAAAAACTTATAATCAGCATTGGAATGGAATCTTCAAGGCAAAAGAAAAACAGGATGCTGATCCAAAACATGGACATGATGGAGAAAGGATTTGGATACAGAAACAAAGGCTCTACTTTAACATGTTTAAAGAGTTTAATAAAGAAAGCCCAGAATAGGAATAGCTAGAGGATCGAGTCTTGTAAGTCGTTTATGTCTCAGATGTGGTAGCAGGCATAAGCAAGTAAGTTCTAGTATTTTTAGGTAAATCAACAATATTAATTGTCTCCCATTTTCACTGAAATAAACAATTAAGTTTCCAGAAAATTATAATAAAATAGCTGTAGAATCTTTGCATTGAATTTTTTATCATAACTCTATTGCCCTATTGATTTTGAGGTCAAAAAATAAAAGATTATAGTGAGAAATTTATATTGTCCAAAACAAAGTTTCCAGATAGTTACTTTTATTACCAGTAGTTCTCTTTAAGTGTTTGTAATGAAATTATACAATAAAAGTTAAGTCATAGTAACCTAAAAAGATCCCTATTTATTTTTAGGTCAAGGTCAGAAAATCATTCGGTGCAAAAAATCTGCATAATGACTAGCTTGAGCTTTCCCTATAAAATTTTAAAAATGATTTAGAAAATCAAAGTTGAAAGATGAAGGTAAGAATGTTTACACATTCTGATTTCTGACATTGACATATACAGTAACCTACATTAATTTAATAAAATGGTAAATTCTAATTAATAACAGGCATTAGTTAAAAGATTGGCACAGCATGAATAATGTAAACACAGGTATCAGAGTGACATATTTTCACCTTTTTGTCATCTAGACAACATTAAGTGCTACTCAGGAAAACAGAAAAGTGGACATCTACAAATGAGATGGACATTTTAACGACAGAAGTCAGCTAACCCCCAACCTGAATACTTCTATGCACTGGTTTGCATGAGAGGTTCATGTGTACTTAATGATGCACAAACGTGAGAACCTATCACTATATACAGTATACTTGCATGTATATACACATTGTGTATGAAGGCTTGTATTTATTATGTTAAACGCATAATTTGGCTAAATTACATTCTACTCTATACAGTATACTTTCATGAATGATAGTAATTGAAATTTGTTGGTATTTCAGTCATGTTAGTATATATTGTTTGTCTAGCTGACAGAGAATGTAAATGGTCAGACTTAAGTACTAATTAATGAGATTTGTCTGCCCACTTGTAGCCCTATACTGCAATGATTTATTGCTCTAGGTACTGTTAGTTATGGCTGCAGTCATAGAACACTTGGTTTTATGGAAAGTGACTGAAAATAAAAACACTTTGGATGTAGACAGTGATCTCCCCCTTTTGCTGCTGGGTCTAAATTTAGCTTCATGTCCAAAATATTTACGAGGTACAGATTTTGTTTTGTAAACAATTAAGTATATTTGGAACCACTTTCTTGACCTTTCCTTATTTCCTTGTAAATAGATGGAATATTGTCAAATGAAATGTATTTATTGAAGAAAAGATATGTGGATGGATTAAAATTAGGACCATTTATTGAATTATATAACTTTTATTGTGTTGCGGTAAACACAATAAATAGATATGATTATAATCAATTTGATACAGAAAATTATATAAATTTTCATCCCTGTAGTTTTTTAAAAAATAAAATATGAATTTATTTTGGATATATAAAAAAATAACCTTTATATTATATATATTATATTACAGCTAGATATATAGTATTTTTGGCTCCCCTATTATGTTTGATACACTAAATTTAGTCTTATGTAATTTTTTACTTTGTTGTGGTTTGATTTCAATATAACTTGGCACACAAGTAGACTATAGTAAAATACATAATTCTATGCATCTGTTTTTGCTTTCGATGAACGGTGTTGCCATGGTTACTAAAAATGTAGTAAAACCTTTTTTATAAATTTATTAAAATGTAATCAAGGTCATTTTGCGCGCATGCTTGCAGATAATTTGGCACACAAATAGTATACATAAGATTTTTTGATGAAATGCTGTGAAATCAATTTTTATTTATTGAATGATGATGCCATGGTTACTAAAAATAGAAATTTCTGGAAATTCTGATTCAAAATGCTAAAGTCTCTATATCTTACAGTTTTTGAAATCCTATGAAATTTTGAACATAGCCATGCACACAATGATATATAGCACTATATCAAGATACATAATTCTGATTGCTTAAACTTTAAATAGGTTTTTATTTTGAACAGGATGGGAAGGAACATTTTTTTCTACAATATGATATTGCTGCATTGCATAAAGTGCGGTACTTGCCAACTGCTACTTTTCTCTTCCTTTGTTTTAAGTATAAACATAGAGAGATGTAATGGACGTCTACAAGAAGATATGGACACCATGCTCATGTATGCACATGCGTGCACGTGAAATGAGTTAAAAAAAAATAAAATATGAATTTCCTTTGGATATATAAAACTTTAATAATATATTAAAATTGATTTGCAGATGAATGCCATTGATGCTTATGTATTTCTAGGTAGCATTAATTTGATTTAACCCTAAAAGTATTTTTTGCTCCCTTATTATAGTACAGTAAATTTAGTCTTATTTAATTTGTTACTTTGTTGTGGTTTGTCAAACAATAAAGTTTTAAACAAAATCTATTTCCAGGACAATCTTAGGAGCCTGAGAACCAGGAAATATCAGGGATATTTACCTTAATCCACAGTATCTAATGGGCCAGGCACCTTAAGTGAGTGGACAGAATGCCAGTGATGGTCAGACGGGAATGATGAATGGCATTATAAAATTATACAGCATTACATTTATGTATTGGTGCACATCCCGGCCTGGTTCAGGAGATGAGAACAAGAATGAAGTAACAAAAGAGGTGCAGACTTTCACACCTGCTAACTTTACTAGGTGTTGGAGAAAAGTTAATGGGTTTGTAAATTATTCAATGGGACGAGTGGCACTGCATGTAGCTTTCTTGTTGACCAGGGAGTGCTACAGAAATACATTTACAGCTTACTTAAAACATAAACTACATTTTAAATATATAAGTAAAAAAATTGTAATATCTTATGCTTTTTGTGGCATGCAGATTTTGAAACTCTGAAGTATATACATACAAGACAGTTTAAAAACACACAATTAACTAAAAAATATATTTCAAATTTGATTTTGAATTCTTTTATACAAGCTTGTACAACAGAAATCATTTATTTTTTTTTAAAGAGGAATATCTGAAAATCAATCTGGAAAAATTAAATGTTCCATGGAATCATTATTCCATTTAGTAATGCATTCTTTGTGAATGGATTCGTTTCTCTGCGCTTGATTTAAGCTTTTTTTGTAAACAATTCATACATGTTTGTGATATTTTCTCATGTTCAAGACAAGACATATATATGTATAAATGAGATGCCAAGGCAAAATCCTTTATTTTTATAGGTCTATCATACGTATGTGAGTTTGGTTCAATTTTGAATTTAATTTTTAAATTATTAAGTTCATTAATATAAAGACAAAGTAAAATTCGAGGATTTCATTAGCTCAATTCTAATATTAAGAATATTTCAGTGCCAAGTCATTATAACTTAATTTAATTGGCAATATTTTGACCTTGAAAACAAATTTTTTAAACATTAATTTGCATCAGCATTTTGATTTCTTTCTTAGATTCCTAAATTTATAGTAAACTAAAACATAGTCTCAGCAAACACTGAATGCATTTGTTATGAATTCATGGTATCTGCAAACACATTAATAATGAATCCTTTCCTAAAGTGATGCATGTTAAAGTGATTTTTGTTTTTTGTGCAGTTTTTACACAATTTATGAAATAATGAATGAATATAATGAAAGTTAATACTTCAGCATTGTAATATGTTTTATGAAATGTTTGAACATATAAATTACATATTTTAAAAAAATCAGTATTATTTTTTATTTTTGTCCAATATTACTCAGAAATTGATTTGCAGATGAATGCCATTGATGCTTATGTATTTCTAGGTAGCATTAATTTGATTTAACCCTAAAAGGGGGTGTTACGAACACCTGTATTATTTTTCCATTTCCAGAGATATCAAAAGACCAGGGTTACCGTGCATTTCCATGCTTGAGTGATTTCATGACTTCCACCAGCTATGCTTGATTCGATGTGTGCATTATGAACAGGGAATATGAAACACAGTCATGGTTTGGAAAAAAAAGCTTTTGTATTGCCATGGAATTTAAATAAATCTTTTGTGATATTTTCAATATAAAAAGGATCTGGCTTTAAATCCTGAATTACAAACTTTGAAAGTTCACCAGATGAAATATTTAATTGATTCACAGCATCCTTAAATGTGAATTTTAAACTTTCAGTTTATTTTGTAGCATATTGTAAATGCTGTTTAAGATCATTTAATGATCCATCCTAACATAGTTATTAAGACTCGGTTTGAAATGGGTGGAACTCTTTAAATGCTGGTAAGTATTAATTCTTTGAGTTTTTCTAATTTGACAGAATTACTACAATATCATTTTTTGCAATCTGTTGGTTATATATATAGTTATTGTCATTCTGCAAAATTTGTGAGAGTGTGTTATGAGTCATACGTGAAAAAATGTGTACACGTACTGCAAATTTGTACTACCAGGATGCATGATCATGACTTTAAATAAAGCTTTCTTCAGTAATTGATAGGTTGACCCAAAAATTGTTTCAATTCCAAATAAATAATGTTTGAAAGATACAAAAATTAATTTTACATACATAACTATGATATATACTTACATAAAAATGTTTGAGCTATGACATATTTATTCTTTGAACAGATCAATAGATGTATCAAATTAAGTTAAAAAATGGACAGGTTTTGTACCAGGGTAACTTAAGAATATTTCAACAATGCTGTTAATGACCTAGCCAATTACCTGTTTGTGACGGCTCAGTAAAAATGATTGAAACCAAATCATCTTTATAATGATATTTTCTCTAGAATTCTGTGCATTTAGGTTTTGTTGATTAATGATGCTTCAGTTAAATATCTTAAGAATATGATACAGTGTCTGCGTTGAAATGATGTGTGGTTTTCGGTATATTGTTTTGACGGAGTCTATGGGCAGGAAGTCCTAGACACCTAACTGTTGACAAGACATTCTATCACCTTGAGAAAACTAACAAGAAAATGTTCTGGAAAGTCTCAAATGACGTTCTGTTTTATTCAGTGTTTGGTGTATAAGTAATATAGTACATAATATGAAATTATTTTTGGTAGACAAACATCCATTATTATAGACATCAGATTGTAGTGGAAGATTACAATATATAATTTTCAGTGTATCATTTTAAGAGATCTGTCTTCATGATTGAGTCAGTAATAATTGATGTTCTTATACACAGTAATACAATTGTACCCTAAAGATAGACTGTACATGTATTCGTATATTAGTTTTATAAGATTTTTCCTTCATTAACAATAAACAGAATCATGTTCAATAAGGTATAGATCACTCTAAACACAGCTGTGTGGTTAGGGAATGTACAATTAAAGTATTAAGTTTTCCTCCAATCCATCTAAGGATTTTATTTTTAAGACATCCAAAGTGAGTCTGTAAACACTTTAACAGAGGTTATTATAGGTCAATAACAATTATTTCTAGTTTTAACATCTATTTGAGAAGTGTAGAAGTTTGGGTTTTAAAGTAGTCAATTAAATAAAGTAGAGGGTCAATTTCATCCATGAAATTATGGAGATGAAATAGATTTTCTAAATCTTCCAAAATGAAGCAGAGAATGAAGAACTGGTCAAAGTCCATTACCTATGACTCCAGTCCAATTCAACAAAGTACTTGTTCTTTTACAAGTATTATAAATACTTTCTCTGCAATCACTGTTGTGAAGAACTGCAAATGATAGTATTGTTCTCCCGCCTACCTCCAAGTCAATTTTCAAAAGTTAACATAATCGATGGATTTTTAATATTTTTTATAGATGATTTTATGGATTTTCATAAAACAGTACTTATTTGGGAAAACAAAGAGAGATAAATCTAAAATTTTGGTAAAACTTGTGTTTTTCACTATAGAAATCAACAGAAAACGGAAAATATTTTTAAAACATCTTTCCCCCCCGTGTCACAAAATTTCCCTTTTACAGTTGATATGGACTGTTATTTCACAAATTCATACCAAAGCTTTTTGTGTGACACGGGAGGGAACATATGTTTATTGACAAAAAATGACAATTGCTTATATTCCACCAATTAAAAAGCCAGTTACAACTGAAACATTTTATTTTATTAATATATTTATGTTTTATTTATTTGCCTAAAATATAAGAAAAGATATAAGGAACATTTAATCACATCCAAGACTACATGTATTTCAAAATATGGTGGTGCTTGAAAGTCCAATTTCAATGAAAAATATCGTCTACCCCCCTTTTTTCAAGAGTGAAATTATGGATAATTTACTATTTAGCTTTGGTTTTAAATAATTGATTGATTATCATTGAACTGCTCTTTGTATTAAACAAAGATTTTATGGCCAAATTGCTATTTATATTGAATTAAATTGCTCCAAAAGGTAGGCGGGAATCGAGAGTTAGCATGCGTATTTCTTTCGTATACATGTATATGTAAACCTAACAATAGATTTTTATGTCCCTTTTCCTTTCCATCGTTGTGCTAATTAAGGCACAATTTGTATTCAATGCTAGTTCATTTTTTACATACATGTACCGGTAATATTGTATATATGTGTATATGTGTAGAATTGGACTATGGATATACATGCGGCCTGGATAGCTCAGTGGTAGAGCACCTGACAAGTAATTAAATACAATGGTCCAGGGTTTGATTCCAGGTCCAGTCTTATAGTTAAATCTTTTATGCCAGGGATTTTCCACTGCCCCGTGTTGGGCCGAAATATGGGCCCTATTCCCAATTGCAAAATCACTCCATTTTCCCAGTGTGTGTATGTGGGGAAGGGGAGGATGGGCTTGTTCAGCTTATGTGTAAATTAGTACCGGTACGTCCTGACAAGGCACATGAAGTTGAAGTTGTAAACTGAGTAGCATTTAGTGTGCAACTACATGTATATGGAAATAATTGTATGCTTTTGAATTTTCTGTCCCATCAGGACAACTCTTTTCAGTGTTTGGTGTACTTTTGAGTCATATTCTTTCTTATCATGATTTTAACCAAAGATATTGATATTTTGATATCAGATACATTTCTGTTTAAAATGCCCTCTACATAAATTTTTAAACACTTTCATTTGCATGAGCTATTATTTTCGCCATTGTATACAGTAAACAAGATTGCACTAGATGATAGGAGTTGCATTTCAAAGGTTTAGAAACTGACTCAGTTATAATATGTTGTAGAGAGAAAGCAGATCACCTAACTGACCTTGTGTTATAGTGCAAGATTTCCACGATAAAGCACAGCAATGGCTGAAGAAGAAATGAGGACAGAATCCACAATTGAACTGTACGTAAAATTTCTACATATACAGTCAAACCCTGTTATTTTGAACTTGATTGAGAATAAGAAAACTTTAAGATATCCCAGGATATTAAAGTGGTGAGGAATTCTAGCTCACTTGTACATACCCATGGTATTTGAGATGTCTTTGTTAAAGATAACAAGTTTTATAAAAAACTCAGAATTGAGCTTAATTGTGTGATGAAAGATTTGACACATTTTTGTCTTATGGAATGTCCTTTCTCTAGCTAGCTGTGTGTCTGTTCTATTTACTACCGTGTTCAAGTGTCATGGTGGATTTTATTTTGAGCATATTCTGGATTTTACGATAAAATTTTATTTGTATTAGATTACCTACGTAGACAAATTAGTGACAAACTATGGATGAGGACTAGGTGGATATAAATATGTATACTGAAAATGGAAAATTTCAGCAGTTTCAGTTTAAGATACATCTACATCAGATTCATTCATTTTCTTGAGATTTTTTTTCACCAGTGGCTTCTTTAAAATAGAATTTCTGTTCACTTGGCCAAGTGGTCTTGCATCTGGTCATAAAGTGTCAAGATAAATTTATTTTATGTGTAGGCTTTTGCCTAAATTTTAACAAATTGATGTTTTTCCAACCACTACATTCAAGCAGTTGAAACATTTGATAGGTTCCTTTTAGGATAATTATGAGGAAGTTTTAGCAATGTCACAGTTGGATTTTCATGTCTTCAAAACATTTGATGGGGAAGAAAATTGTGCTTTTCGAAATATCTTGACATTTTGACTAGTAAAACAGTTACTCAGGTAATGTCTTTTTGCAGATTATGGATAGGAAATCGTACTCTGTTGTGATTATTGTTTTCATAAAATCTGGCCAATAAAAGTTCAACTATAAAGATTTTACAATATTGAACTTTGATACTTTTATATCAAACATTGATAATTCAAATACAGTGGACCTTCAGATATCCGGACGACTTTTCATCAGAACAGATTTTTAGCTCACCTCAACGAAGTTGGGGGAGCTTATGTAATACCCTCGGCGTCGGCGTCCCAGGTTAAGGTTAAGTTTTTTGGAGCAGTTTTCTTTTTAAGTACTTCTATGTCCTATATTGATTAGACATGCATGGAAGATGGTTCTAGTGTGTTTCATTGTACCAGTCAAAGTTTCAGATGCTGCAATTTTAGCAAAGGAATGACCAGGTTAATGTTTTTGGAGCAGGTTAACATTTTTGGTGCAGTTTTTGGTGTAGGTTTCATTTCCAAGTAACTATAAGCCCTATGTTGACCAAACTTGCATTGATGATACATCTAAGGATGCATACTATCGAACTTGCTCCGGATGCTGAATCTGACCTATATTTTCTGGTTGAGTGAACAGGTTAAAGTTTTTGGTGCAAGTTTCATTTCCAAGTAACTATAAGCCCTATGTTGACCAAACTTGCATGGATGATATATCTAAGGATGCATACTACCTGGCTTGCTTCGGATGCTGAATCTGACCTACATTTACCGGTTGAGTGAACAGGTAAAAGTTTTTGGTGCAGGTTTCATTTCCAAGTAACTATAAGCCACATGTTGACCAAACTTGCATGGATGATACATTTAAGGATGCATACTACCAGGCTTGCTTCGGATGCTGAATCTGACCTACATTTTCTGGTTGAGTGAATAGGTTAAAGTTTTTGGTGCATGATTCATTTCCAAGTAACTATGACTTCTTAAATGACCAAACTTGCATGATACATATACATGTAAGGATGCATACTACCGGGTTTGCTTCGGATGCTGAATCTGACCTACTTTTTGTGGATGAGTGAAAATGTTAGTTTTTGATGGATGCTTCATTATACCCCCCGCTTGAAAAGCGGGAGGGTATATAGTAATCGTTAATTCCGTCCGTCCGTCTGTTACGCTTTGGGGTACCCATCTCTTATC